TTTATGTACAAAAATGGCACTACCAATAAAATATCGTGAGTCGGAATTTATTTACTCCTATCTCAACTGAAGATGAGATTAAATCAGTTCAGATTGTTGTAGTTGTATCTTTCTTTCTTTCTGAATTTATATAATTCATACGTTTGTCATTCAAGTAAGTTTATGAATAGTCAAGTGGATAAATCAGCCGGCCATTTCAGTGGCTAGTCCTTTAATAGAGTAGCGCCATTCAAATAACTGACTGAGCTTCGATCAGCCGAGTAGCTGTACGGAACGTTCTACAATACGGCTGAACAAAGATGAGCCAACTAATTAATTGTCAATTCATAGGGAAAATCAAAATTTAGTAGTAGGATTAGAAGTAAAATATGTTATTTTATGTAGTGCTTGATTTTAAATAAAACTAAAACAGGTTACGATTTGTAACCCATACAGGTAGATAAAAGTCAGACCACAATGATAATAACAAACTGCTTATTCAGGACTGGGTGCAATTTAGCCAACCTCTTGAAACTAGAAAACGGTGGATCACCAATAATAAAAGCAGGAGAAAACAGTAGGATATGTTAAAAATGCATATTTCATTATATACCCATATAAATAAAACTGATATACTTTTATTAGTTTTCAAAACTTCCATACATTATTATATCATAATATTGATATACGTTAACATAGCGTAATAGGTGGCGCTTAACGTGGCAAAATTATTCTGTGTGTTATTAGCGCTTTTATTGCTGTAAAGTTATTTGTTATACATGTTGTTTGGGCGCGGCAGGTAATGCGCGCTCGTGGTAGCGATACCATCGGATTGGCATCGTGACGTGCCATCATACCCCCACTTCCCTGCCCTCAGCATGATTTCCCAGGGTATTCAGATCTCGGATCTTGCGTAATTTTATATCACACTGGACGACACATAACTTGCGGTCATTTGAGGACGGTAGAAGGAATATTTGGTATATTTAATTACTAAATTTTTTTTTCTTTAAGGCAAGATTTTGCTAAATTGAAACTTTTAAAACCATGTTTATTCTAAGGCTAATATTTGCTAAATAAAAATAATTTTAAGAAAATTAATCAAAACGTCAATTTTTTGCTGAAAAAGTAACATTCGTTAATTGCCCCACTGGAAAAATAGCCAAGATGACTCTAAATAGGTTTTTGGATTGATTTTACAACGAATAAATTTCATATTAATCATATAAAAAATAGGTTTAAACACTTTTAAATTATCTAAATATTTTCTTTATAACTGCATTTGTTTTTATTCTGATTAAAAATGTATGAAGTTCATCTTCATTATTAAAATTAATAAATTTTAGAATCCCTAGAGTCTCCTCACGTTCTAAAAACATTTTTCATTGTTCACCCACTGCCACAAATTACGCTGGGAACACTTTTATAAGACGCTCCTGTAAATTTTACAATGACAATTTAAATGACGTTGACATTTTTTCGCTATCATTAAATCAATATAAACGAAAAGTGGGAGATATTATATTTAAAAATGACTAATCAGAGTGAGTTTTTGAGATTGTTGTGGAGAAGCTGTTTGTTTGATGTGTAGGTTAAGTTTAATCGATATTATTACCATTGTTAATAGTAAGCAATTAAATTAATTTTGTTAGTACTCGTATTTAGTAATGGAACTGTCAGGTCTATTAGTTACCTAAGTTTTGTTTGTATATCAATTGTAAACGACTGTTTGTTTCCTAAATAAATAAAATAAAATTAATCTCGATGTGTACTTGTATGGGAATTTAAGCGGAGGTCTTAAAATGCAAGTAAATGCAGCAACCGTTTCTGATGTTACAGGCGGTATTCGATTATAATCAGAAGTATTTCTTTTAGGATCAACACCTGTCCAAATATATCTACTATTACCGACCAACATGATCAAAAATAAGTGTTAAAATTTTAAAATATATATTTTATTTATAGGTAATTATATTCTTAAACTAAGGTTGTTGAGAAACTATTGTGGATGGATAAGTATTGCACTTGGGGAAATACTTTAGGTACTTCAAGGTAATACTCAGCCTCGAACCTCACCTTTGATATGTCACTCCGACTTCCTATCTATTACTTTTCTTTTCGAGCTGTTCGGCGTTCTCAGAAACTATTAAGAAAGCTCGTACTTTGCGATCATACGTCTCAGAAGTGAAGAATGACTTTTTCTCCAACCTTTAACTCTCTTTTTCGTATACATACCTATTTAACTCTTTAGGTATATCTATTTATTATTATGATTATTATTGTAATAAAGTACAAAAAATACATGACTAATTCATAATTATAATAAATGCAAAATTGCCTAATCAGTGTTTGTTTAAAGACAGCTGTTTATCTTATCTGTGGATCACAGACCAATATATTCGGAGGCCAAGCGGTATGTAACGTGAAATAAAAATGTACTCTTTTGTTTCCCACTAACAATGTTGTTCTTTGCTATTGATAAGCATTTACCGGATGGAGTAGCGGACAGAATGAAGGCTCTACGGGCTGTATAAACATATGGTCGTGAGTTTATTTTCATTAAAAAAATATTATGAAGATGAAAAGTGTTTAACTTTGTTTGTTTATTATTTGGTAATTTTAAATACTGGGGCCTAATTGTCGAATTTAAATATAATAGCAACCCCTTTCAAAGATGTAGTCGTTGTGATGGCGATTAGACAATTCCAATTAACGTCTATCTCATATTAAAATAATCACTATCACATATTAAATAATTGAAGCGTGAAGTTCATGTATATCATTCAAATGGTAAATTGAAAGGGAATGTGATATATTTTAACATGAAACAATTAGGCCCCTGATCTGATTATGAAAATTGTTTCACCTAAGGGAAGCTACATCATACGCCGGTGCTCATAGGTCATAATTACGCGGGCGAGCTCGTTGCTATTTCATAAAAATACATGTCTTTTTCAAGGTTTCAATGTTTTAGTGGGACAACTAGGTCCAAACGTTGTTTTAAGTTTTGCTAACATTAAGGCTTGAGATATTTAACTAGGCATTGGTTTGTAGATAACATCACATACACTTCTCAGATCCAAAATTTTGCTCAAGCACCTCATATAGTTAATTTGTATAAAAATACATTTTTGTTTACGTGCCTAAATTTTGAACAAATATCTTATACGTATTCTAATTTGTTTATGCTTTATTGCATAACTAAAAAAAAAATGAAAAAATGGCGGACTTAATACCACAAGGTATTCCTTGGTCACAGAATTTGTAAGAGCGGTGCAATAAACAAAAAAAAGGCAAATGACGTTACAAAATAAAAGATATTCTAGGGCCTATTCTAATAAATAAATTTTGTTTAAATCGAATCGAAAACGGATCGGAACCGAACGAAACTACAGTTTTTGATGGTTTTCCTTTTATACAAAGTGACATACGAAACAATTCCAGTTCTATTTTAGCTGGAATTGTATCGTAAGTCACCGTTTGCGATTCGAATTGGCCCCCTGATACAGTTACATACAAATAACATTACATATATAAATATGTTAAATCTTGTATCCTGGTAAAACTTATAAGTAGTCAAGTTTACTTTTTTTTTTTATAAGTATATTGTTCTATATGGTTTTTTTGCGTACTTCACAAAATCAGTCTTAGCTATAACTTAATTTAATTTATAATGTTGCAATCTCATCCATTACCTCGTTAACTAATTACAAACAAACTATTGTGATTATAAAAATCCAAATTGGCTACATTATATTAATGATACGATTAGTTGATGATAATATAAAGATCCGTATTTACTTACCTTTTTAATTGAGGTCGCAGACACGTAATTCGCTTGTAAAGTTAATTAAGTGGTTAGATATGGATCTCTCTAGGTTAAGACCGAGTACAGTTTAAATGTATTCCTTTACTCTAAATGTTTGGTGAATTACAGTTTGGTAGGTATCCTGTCGGCTAATTGATTGTTTAATTTTAAAATATATCGCAATCATTTTTAAAGGTATAGCAATTGTGATAGCGGACTTACCTCATCGGGGGCCCCGGGGTGGCAATAGGTCCAGATCAAGCCCGAATGAGGAAGTATTTAAAGAAAAATAGTTCCCGAAATCAAACTAGATGTCGCTACGGTACTTTCTTGATTTCTCCATGACAACCCTTCCGGGTTTCTTTCATTTTCGTTTCTTTCAACATTTCATCATCATTTTTTTTCAAGTAAATTAGTTTTCAAAACTCAATAAACATTATTACCGTATTTGTACCATACCTCGGTGGCGTAGTGGATAAGCGCCGCGGCCCGCGATCGTAGTCGTTAAGCAACTTTCGCAAGGGTCGCTCACGGGATGGGTGACCAAAAAATTATTATCTCGAGCTACTCCGTGCTTCGGAAGGCACGTTAAGCCGTTGGTCCCCGCTGCATTTGCAGTCGTTAATACCCTCCAATCCGCATTGGGCCAGCGTGCAGGGTCATTGCCCATCCTCCTTAATCATCCATAAGGAAGGCCTGAGCCCCTGCAGTGGGGACGTAAAAAGGCTGGTGATGGTGATGATGATGTACCGTACCGTATATAAACGTATTTGTATTGATATCGAAGTTTCGAACTTTGCAAATTTCAGTTTTTTAACATGTTAGTGAAAAGGAACGGAAATGACTATCTTTGGTCCATTCGTTTCCTGCAAAAATCAACTTTTGCTTGAGTCGCCATCTAGTGGAGGTGCTTTTTGGTGCTTTCTTTTTTTTTAATACTTCCTCATACGAATTCACTTCGAAAAGCAGCATCCGCTCAATCTTGAATCGGTAATAACGTTTCGAGGCATAAGTGAAGTGAGTTTCGAAATGAATATCTGTGACACGTATAATCAATTTTGTTTTGTATTTTTATACAAAAAAGGGAATCAATAGAATATCTTCACTATATAACGTGAACTCGGACACATGAGTGAAATCGAATTCAGGTTCGGACTTTACAGAATCGTCTTGCCGGGCAGAGAATTGATATTTTTAATTTTAATATATCATTATGATTTTAACGGATGACTGCAACCCATTTGGAGGGCCCCCAGGACCGGAGGCTCGGGGCGAAGCTCCCTCCGTCCCCCTAAGGCCGCTACCGGTGATAGTGAACTATGATATTATGTAACTTTAAAGACGCATTCGTTTTTGGGACGAATAATCAAGAAACATAATAAAGACTCGAAATATTGCAGTAAGCATTTAAATTCTTCGTTTGATAATTCTCAATAGCTTTCAAGCATTTATCACTTTGCTTAGACAATTCCAATTAACAGTATTAGTTTATGCTGAATATGATGTTATAAAAACGATTATGTCATCATATTCAGCATTAACTCATACATCAGTATCACGCTGTTTTTCTATTTTGCAAAGTTCAACGTAAAATTAATATCATTAGTTTAAATGACCACTTTAATCATGCTACAGATACATATTATTGGGTATAATTGTATTTTGCAAGATGAATAACAAGATATGTTTTGTATTAATTATATCCTGTTTTGTATCTTAATAAATAAAAAAAAAAGTATCGTTCATTCGAAATTTTTCATAAAGCATCGCTACCATCATCTCTATCCCACGTCAAATAGTTGCAGTCTGAAAGTTCGTGGATAGCTTTCAAATGTTAAATTGTAAGGATACGACAGATTTTAAAATTAGGCAATTAAACCTCTTGTTTAAATTTACTACTTCAGATTATATGGTTTGTGTGTTAGAAACGGTGTAATGATTTGAGTGAGGAAGAGAGGATTTATCTCTACAAAATCAGTAAGGTTTTATGTTCGACTACTTACTGATTTGCTTACCGATTTATCCGCGAATGGTAGACATATTTTCTATTCTATTCTTTGAAAGATTAATGGGCAGCTGCACAAACGTCCATTAGGGTTTAATGACGCTGGTAAGCTCTAATGAATGTCAAATTTGTATGGGTAATGTCACTTTAAACTAATATCAATTTTAATGAATGTTTGTGCAACTGGCTGTAAGGGCCGTGACCCATAAATTTATCGAAATTGGATCAGCATTATTGTTTTGATAACAAAATAATTTAAAGCATTCATCAAAACAACAAATTATTTAGACAACATATCTGAATCTTTAACAAAATCGTATATTTTGCTTTCCTACGTTTCTGTAATAAATATAAAATTATATATGTTATATAGATATATCTAAAAAACATAACAAATAAACTGATTTCAAAATACAAAGAAATAATATTCTCAATGAAAAATGCATAAACAATCTACTTGCCCCAGGTACTCTGAGATGGGATTCGAACCCACGGCATTTCGCAATCCGGATGACTGCTCTAATCACTGAGCTACCCTTCTTTTTTAATTAATAGCTTATCTGCGCATTTCGCACAATTCTGCCAATGTAAAGTAAATAAATTAATTTTTACATGTAAAATGAAAATGAAATGAATGAAAGATGGCGATGATACTCGATGTTTTCTTGTTTTAGGATCTAACAGGGCTGACGAATTTTTCAAGCACTTGTTACTTTTTCACCACTACAGAGCGTATTTCCTTCAATGTTCAGGCAATCCACCCAAACAGCCGAATGATATATTTTAACAAATATTTTAAACTGTCGGCTAATGTAAGATGAGTTCTAATTATTATATTTAATCAATATTGCATTCCCAATGATATACTGAAAAATATTCTTAACGAAATGCCCCTGGTACTCTGAGATGGGATTCGAACCCACAACCATTCGCAACCAGGGCAAGTAGATTTTTTAAGCATTTTTCATTTTGGAAGCATTTTGGATTTTTTAACAATGTTAGGGCACGACAGAAGCGTTACATCCATGTAGTTTGGTTAAAGACACATTGGCAAATTGGCGAGAGAGCAATAAATGAATATACTTATATAATTATATAAATACTATATTCATTTCATTCTAATGTATGAAACACGTGACATCAATAACAGCGCCAATGAAGACACATAAATGGATTTCCACCTTAAGCTTATTACATTTAGCTTATTTGATACCTAAGCCGCCTGGAAAAACGAGCTAGTACTTATGTAAAAAGTTTGAATGATGTTTTAATGGATGTATTTCATTTTCTTTCATTCTCTCAGGTGAGAAATAGGTATTGGCAAGTGGTTTTCGACCTGGTACAGCTGCTACAGCTGTCGGTGACGGCCACGGCGCTAGCGCTATACTATCTGATATATTGTTACATGCAACTCGTGTACTACACGTTGAGGAGCGCCCTCTACTTTCATCAGGCTGATGGGTAAGTCTTTTATGATGGTATGTTCCTCATATTAAAAACTCCTTCAGTGTTATTAATAAACAAGGTTTGGCGTTGGAGTAAATTTACGCTGAGACTGCACACGCTCCCAGGTTCTGTATAAATCTGTTTTTTACGTGATAATTTAAGAATGGTTAATTTTCACCTATTTCCATAAACAAAATTACTTAATTTATCCATTTGCAGTGATTGCGGCACTTACATCGTCCTTAATATTCACACGTTCCATTTCAATATTTTCTCGATCAGATTTTGGCGTTTGAATGTATGTAAAAAAATTATGACAAACATTGTTAGTGGTCTTTTAAAAAGCTTTTTAGACAACTAACAATAAAATTTAGTTTTATTGACGTTTCGAACCATTTACAGGTTCCGTGTTTACATAAGAGTTATGTTACATTTATGGATAGTGCACGTGAAAATATAAGAAATCAATAATTTTTAGTTATTTTTTTCGTAAATCACTTATTTTATGGAACAAACTAAACGACGTTTGTTTAATAGTGAGGTTAGAAATGTGATAAGAAATTGTTTAATACTTGCATCTATAGTCGAGAAAAGTAATTGAGAACTTGAGAAAATGTCTTTAACTTAAGAAGAAGTGAGAACTGTTAATAACTAATAATAATAGTATTCTAACTGTTAACAATTGTTACTTCATTCAAATTCTTGTTTATTTGGTAAATATATCTGTTAAATTATGACATATACTCAAGTAATTACATCTCTCGCTGAATGTTAGTCTTCCTTGATCTCGGTCCCGATCCGAGGTTAAAAAGCGTACATTCTTGAGAAACTCTAAGCTTAAAAGTATTCGTGCACTCGCTTCCTTGAAGGAACTTTAATTTTCTTTAACTAAATACGAGTAATGTTCAGCGCATGAAACCGATCGTATCCGACTAAATATTTGGAAGCAGTAAAATTGTTTGCATAATTTAGAATTGCCTTAAATTTGTCTGTATTTTAAAGGAACAATGTATGTACATTTAGAATAATATCCATATTCTAAATGGGGTAGGTATAGCTCGTACGAATTTACATGACACTTGAAGGCCTCTATTTAGGCTCGAACAAAATTCGGGAAATAGGAAAATTTCGTATTTTTGAAGTCGTATTAGCTTTTCAAATGTAGACGAAATTTTCTTTTCAGAGTTATAGAATAGGCCTTCAGGTGTCATGTTAATTCGCACGAATAGTATGTGTCATTTCATTCACATTGCATCTGAATGTGGATAGGAGTGCAGATAGTTGGAAAACTCGAAATTCACAAAGATTATGTTACAAACGATGCTTAACGAAAAGCTTAAAATTATCTATATATGTTGATTTGCATTTTGTTTTATTGATTTATTAGCTTTCTCCAGCGGCTTCGCCCACGTGGTCCCTAGGAAAATGTTTAGTGGGATAAAAAGTATCCTATTATTTAAGTCAGCTAATACCCTATCTGTGTACCAAATTTCATCAAAATCCGTTCAGTATTTTCGGCGTGATTGACGGACAAACATCCAAATAAAGAAACTTTCACATTAAAATATTAGAAGGATACAATCGTATTAGCCGCGTATAGCTTAAACTGTCATAAGGTCAATCTTAGTGTAAAACTTTGTTTATTAATGACAATGGCAACACTTCTGTTGCATAAACTAGATTAAACTTTTCAGTCTTGTCTTGTCAACTGCGAAAATTATTATGATAACAGGTGTAAACTGATTATGAGTAGTATGAAGGATATTATGTGACTACAGAAAAGCATCAAAAGAAAAATTTGATTTTTCTTTGTTTAAGACGTGATAAAAGACCTAAATAAAGTTGAATTTTAAAGATTTTTTTATAAGGTTAAATAAGATGAACTTTCAAATATTTTTTCATGTATAAATAATCTTTGTTTCAGGCCGATGAAGGTCACAATTGCAGTTTTAACAGTGACGTCATTGATAGTTGGATTCAATTTGTTCGTGCGATTAGAAAAATTGATCTGGATTGTTTAAATCTTTTATTTAATAAGGATATTGTATCGATTCACTTTTATTATGAAGCGTTTTTTTTTTGTATCTGTATGTATAGTAACTATAAGAAAATCGCTTTAAAATCGCTATCGAATAGATACTAATGAATGTAAGCGATTTTCTTTACAATTTAATAAATTCATGTTTTAGTTATTCAAATTTATTGAATGTTTAGTAAATTTGTCCATGGAAGCGTGCTCAATAAAATCTTATTTGATGATGTTGCCGTTCCTTTTCAATGGTCAAAAAGCATGTCAAAGAGTATCGTTTTTTTCATTAGCAAGTTGTCTAATTGCTGTCGAAGCAGTCATTAGTGCGGCCGAAAGACAGATTGAGCGGAACGAACCACCTGGACATTGTTTCCCCAAATGATTTAGGAAAACGATTAAGGCCCCCCTCGCGCTTTTGTGCGAGTTCAACACGGCGGGAATGAATTTCGCGGATGAGGAGGCAACGCTTACCAGCCACTCTGATACAGACGTCCGCGCAACGCGCGCGCTAACTAACAACGGCTCTTCGCGCAAATGCAACACGCATTCCCGCGAAATTGTGTTCCGAATTTAAATCTTTAAAAATATATTAAACTTTTTTCTTTTTGTTTTATTCGGTTTTTGTGCAACGTGTGCATGAAGTTTGGAAAGGTGAAAAAAATAGTGCAATAACTCTATGCAAGATGTTTGTTAATGCGAGGTAAGTGGAGTATGGAAGTAATTGCACTTTTCTCGTTTTCTTAGCGCGGAGGTGTCAAAGTGTTACTATGTCGCGCTTTATGACTAAGTTCTGATCTACTTTTTATTATAATATTGTTGCCATACTATAAACTTAAAAAACTTAATGGCGCTTAATTTAATTTTATTTAAAACTTTGTTATTATTAGTTATTTGTGATAAAATTCGTAGAAAACAATTAATGTTATTTATGATATAACTTCCTACAAATTTACTTCTTGAAGTTGAAGATGTTAAAATATACTTTTTTTTTTTAAATCGTGACAATTTCAAGATTTGACTTATTCCATTCAGTTTTGTTAACTTTAAGACAATCACGCAAAACATTAACGGGATACAGTTGAATATAGCTAAATTAAATAGTTTTACAAATTCGGCGTGCAGCAAAATTATTTTGTACTAGTTCTGTGACCCCGCTACGCTTGAACGGAATAAATACCATCGCTTATTCGCCATAGTCACCTCCAAATACTAATAATGGATTTGTGGATTTGCCAGTTGATTATTAAGAATTTCTGTCATTCCAGTATTGAGTATTGTTTTCTATTATATTTGGCCAATTTTGCATACAAAATGCTGTATTGATAAATATCTTTTAATGAAAAATGCTTAAAGAATGCACCAGTCTCAGGCACCCTGAGTTGGGACTCGAACCGACTGCTTGGAGCAGCCATTGATATACTAAGACACAACAGCAGAGGGATTTTGTAAAAGTCCGAACCCAAATTTGAATTCACTGATATTTTATTCCTATGTCATTAAGAAACTCACTTCACTTATATAACGAAATGTTATTACCAATTCAAGGTTGAGAGGATGCTGGATTTGAAGTGAATTCGGGTTCGGAATTTTACTGAATCGCAGGGCAGGATTGACGAATTTCTCAAACAGTTTTTTCTTTCTCTACTTATCAGCGTCATCAATGGTCAGACAATTATTTTTCAAATATTTTCTTTAATTTTTTTTTAAATAAATCTAGTTACTTATTTTTTTTTTATAAATTTTGAATTGATAATGTAATACCATTTTCTTTTGAAGCGAATGACATTATACCTTTATATTAAAATACTATATACAAATTTCTAAACATAATTAATCATCCAGACTTACTTTAGATTGAATTTATTGTTTACTTTTTAGTTTCAAACGAGCGCTTCAAAGAATTATGTATTTCTTAATACGTTATTTCCAATGGGCGGAGGTTTTATGATATTTGATAATAGAACCATTGTGTTTTTGTCTGACACTTCCACGTGCTATGTGGAATAAAATACGATAGAAAATTTTGTTTTTTTTTTCTTTGACGTTAATTGTAAGAACTTGAATGCAATAAATTCACACAGTAGGGGCCTTCCTAATTAAGTAACAATTATTGCTTGAAGGCTTTATCGCTATTAAAATTGATATGTTGATTTACGTGAGAAAATTTTGTATAGTTTTATTAATGAAAAGAGAAATATTATAGTTAAATTTGAAAAATATTTATATATACTATTATTATGATTTGGATATGACTTCAATGAGCTATAAGGTTCATCTAACAAATGTATAAAATGTAGACCCACCATATCCTTTTTTTCTTAAAAATATCCGACCATTTTTACTATGCCTTAAAAAGCATAATTTGTTTAAGCTGTAAGGAGTTCACATATAGGCATTAAGATTCTTGTTCCACTTGGTAAGTTGAAAAAAAAAACAATTTTCGAGCTGTTTATGTAAATCACAAAAATTTATATTTGTGATTTAAATTATTATTTAGTGTTTCCATTCATGTAAATATCAATGATTTGTGATAACTGCGCGGTGTTCAAAAAAGTCTTTTTTCTGCTTACGCCTTTTTTTAAAGTTCGAGTCTAAGTTGGAACTGCCAAAAGAAATAATTAAAGACCTATGCGAAAACTTTCTGTGATGAGATGGCATACCGAAAATTTATTGTATAAATGTGAATATTTTTTAATCGTTAGATAATAAACATAAAACTTACTTTTTTCGTTCCGGTATCATTCACTACATTTTTTTATATCGCATAACCAGCCCCAAAGAGGAGAAGGAAGGAGTCAAAAGCCTTTATTTTAATATACCTCGAAGGCTTAAGACCTTTTAGCCCTGTCAATAAGACTGCGAGTTTAAAAAGAAAACTAAACTAAATAAAGGCTTGAGTCTTTTTATCACTAGCCAAAAGCCTTTTTTTAAATAAACCTCGAGGCCTTAAAACCTGTTTAGTCTTCTAGCTATATCAATAAGGCTGTAAGTCTAAAAAAAGGGTAAAAGACTCGAGTCCTTTCTATCACTACAAACAGGTCAGTCAATGAAACAGTGTGTTGCTTTTGTAAGCTTCCTTACCTTGCCAAGTGAATCTGTAGGCATAGCGCAGATTCGCCGAACTTATTTAACAATTTAATGAATATTAATGGATGTAAAATAGACAATCATTATGAGTTAAATAGTGAGATTTTCTGCTGACTAGAATTAGTAATAACGAATTTACAACAAGCTTTCCACAAAATTGTTTTTTATCTATATTTGCTATTGGGGGGGCTCTCGCGCCAGTGTCAGGGGCGCAATCATTATAATTTAATAAAGTTAAATAAACAAACTTCACAAAGTGGCTTTTAAAATAAATAACTTCTACGATGGGAGGGAGATCATTGCAAAATCCCCAAAATTGCATAAATATAATATTATGTAATATAATGACGGATCTACAACTTTTTCCAAATGACCCCAGTTGGAAAAAGTTGTAGATCCGGGCCTGAAAACAGCTGAATCCACCTGACAATTTTGAGCTATGCGTTGATAGATCAGTCAGTCATTCTTGACTTTTATTCCCCTTACCAACCGACCCTGACCCGACAGACCCTTAGGTAGGTCCGTACAAATTTTGCCGCGTGTGTCAATCTCGATACTCGGTTGCATAAACGTCCTTCAAAATTGTACATTAACGATACAAATTTTCAAATTCAGAACATTAATTAGAGTTTAAAGTCGTTATTAAACCTTTTTGGACGTTTGTGCAACTGATCGGATCAATTTTGTATTTATATATTATTAGTTCTTTATAGATAATTTAATAAAACTTTTTAGATAATTTATTAGTTCTTCGCACCTTCCTTTAGATATGAGCCGATTCTAAAAGATGTCTGCTACATAATAGAGTACAAATGACATATTTTGTATTGTAAATCTTAGTTTCCTCAGATCATTAGAATATTTGGCGTAATGCTCTTTATGCAAACTCGATTCGCACTCGATAATTTTCGTGTTAACGGTAAGATGACTAAGTCACGACTAGTCTATGAAAATCTAGAATGAAAATATAAATCGCGAGCTAGATTGTTTTGACAAACGACTAGATTGATCAATCGCATAATACCTATGTTCATCTGGAATAGTAAAATGTTCTGCAATAGGAAATTTCATGTTTCGATTACTGTCAGGTTATGTACTCCTTGCTTTACTTTTACTTTATTACTGAAAGTTTATATACTCCTTGGTGATTTCTTGAAATAGTTTCCATCCACATAATCTAGAAAAAGTATCCATCCACATAGTCTATTTAATTAATGGAAAGATATACCTGAATGACATGTTTTCGGTGAATAATATTTCAAAAGGTAGATCTTAGAAAAAAAGATGTAGAGATAATAAATTTTTAAAGCTTCTTTTTTATTGTTTGCTTTTTGTTCTTCGATAGCAATATCGTCAACCGTAATATGAATTAATGTAACCGCCAAAATGGCGATATTGAGTTATATATACAGTTCGACTGCAAATTTTCCGCTCTATCGATTGGTGTATTTAAAATCTCGATATCTTGAAAAAAATGTCGAGTACCTTAATAAAATTTTAAGTAGATTTTTTCATTTATATTAACTTTTGTGACGTATGATGCAATTTATAAAAATAGATAAACTGTAATTTACTGTAAGGGCAGAATAAGAAAATATTTTTAACGTAACTACTCAATGAATGACAATATCAACAATGGTCATGTGTAAAAAACTGAATTTTAGAATGAAAGATATTAGAATTGCTACTTTTAAAAATCGGATTTAAATAATGAGATAAAATACACTATGAAAGAAGACGATTTCCCATGGGTCAAGGAACTAAAATTTCGTCAGGTAAGGGAAAGGGCAAAGGAAAACGAACAACAGCAAAGAAACTGGAGCCTAATGAAAGGAGTTTGGTCGATAATAAAACTCATAATGATTTACAGAAACTGTACCGGGCACGATTACCAATTTCTACGAAAAATACATGGATCTAAAAAAATTGTGCGATGACGAAGTTATACCTAAACAGTATATTCAAGATTATTTACAGTTACCCTAAACTATGAAAACTGATTTCTTAGATGACATAGGTACTTAATAAGAGGAGGAAGAGAACGTGACTAGTGATGAAGAAACTAAGGAACATAGTATAAAAACTGAAAAACCAAATAAAATAAATAAAAAAAAGAGATAAGCTAGATACAAGAGTTTCGTGCTCAAAAATACAATGTCGTAATTTAAGAAATTCAGATTTACAACCCACAGCAATTGAAAAAAAGGAGCAAAAGGAAGAAAAGGCACTAAAGGTGAAAAAGACTGCAAAGGAGAAAAAGGAAGAAAAGGCAGTAAAAATAACATTACGAAAGAGAACGGGAAACGTTAAACAAATACAAAAGAAAAAAAGTGGTGAAGCAAAATAGAGAAAATTAATTAATCATTTCAAAGATAAAGTAGGTACTTATTTTGTTGATGAAAACAATTATGTTGGATTATTTTATTTTCTTGTTATTGTCATGAATAATTATGTTTCAATACTTGTTAATTGAAAAGTTTTCTCTTT